TACAAAACGGAGAAGACGAACCAGTACCAGCAAGAACCATCGAACCAGGAACCTGCCGGTGGATCCCAGCACGCCCGGCCGCACCCCCTGACTGGGTGCTGGGTCCGTCCCTGTCCGTGAGCATGCTTATGTACATGAAGCATGATTCTTCAAACGAATATAAACTTCTTGAGTAAGTGAAATCACTTTGTAGACATATAGTTACCACTAATAGTCATCAATGAATTTAACAAAAATGCAATCTTTGTTAAGAGTAAAATATTACGTTAAACAGCAAAATGAAGTAACGTTCATATTTGCAGAAAATCGCAGGTGGCTGACCATTTTGGCCTTTCCAAAACAGATACCAAGCTACGAGCCAAATCGACTAAATTAAATGATCTTATTCATTCACGTGTGAAAACTGAATTTTTGCCTATTTTATATTTATTTTAATTACTAGAAATGGCTGTTTTGACCTTGTTGGTAAATCATGTGAATTACCTAGGTATTTACTATTCTTCTATACAATAAAATGTTTACTTTTCTAAAAAAGTCATGTCACTTTTGGTAGATTAGACCGACGGCAAAGACACAAAATAAAAAGTGGAAAAGAAATGTAATTTTATCATTCACGCAGTGATTTACAATCAATCATCATTTTAAAGTCTCGACCGCTGTTTCTTCGTCCTTTTTATTTGAAGTTGGCAAATTATTTGCCTAGCTAATCCAAACCACCAAATAGCTTGAACGGACTTGGAGGGATTTTGACTTTATTTTTGAGTAGGCTTGGATCAATTCTAAGATTTCGATTTTAGGAGTTGGATAAAATAAATGATTTTCAAGGATCCCCTTAACAAATTGAACCGATCATCGATTTGAGTAGTTTATTCATCTTGTTGCAATTTCACCAAACTCGCAGTTTCGATTCGATTGTTGGGTTGGATTCGAAGCCAACCGAATCGTCCCGAGCCTACGGAACCTTTTATAGTTCTTTTTACTTAGTTAGGATTGCACTTGGATAGTAATGCAAACCCCCATTCTTTTCTCGACTCAATTATGTATCCAACTTATTTCATTTAATTCACGTACCGAATTCATAAACTTTTCCACATAGGCATTGGTGATTCATCAATACAAAATTTGTGTCGTTGACCACCCATTTATCGTGAGTTGATGGGGACACTTATTCCATGATGTCTGAATGCCCAACTCACAATGGCATTCTAGTATTTTTAGACAAAGCCATGCCTCATTTCACAAAGAAAATTTACCAAACCCAAAGGCACTAAGCACAGTGGTCTGTTCCTCTGCAGCCGCAGCTCCAACACCCACACTATATCTGTCTGTATCAAATCCTGCACCCCCACGTGGCCCACATATGTCTTACGTGTATCTTGATGACGTGGCATATGCTTCCTACCAGTTTGATAGTATTTTTTATAATTTTTAGTTTTTAATTTATTTTCAGTACACACAAGTTGCTATCAGCTGGCTTATTGCAATAAAAAAATTGAAAAATAGTTGAGTTGTCTATATTATTTAAATTAGGAAAACCAATTTGTCTGTTAAAAAAATAAATTATTTTTTCTATAAAAAAGAAAAAGAAAATTCTGATGAAATTTAACAAGAGCAAAATTACAGTTAAACCCCACCCGCTCCTCAATTTTCACCCTTATAAATTGCACTGCTACTCCACACACGGTCCCTACAAATCTCTCTCTAAGCACATTCATCTCTCTTGTATTTCATCTTTTCTATCTGTATCGCCCTTGAGCAATACACTGATCATAAAATCTTTTTTTTCCAACAAATTAACGCAGAAATCAAAATCCATGGCGAGCAGAAAATTGATCGTGGAAGTGTGCAGTGCCAAGAATCTCATGCCTAAAGACGGCCAAGGCACGGCTAGGCATATGTGATTGTGGATTTCGGCGGCCAACGGAGACGTTCCAAGACCATTTTCCTGGATCTCAACCCTCAATGGAACGAGAAACTGGAATTCTTGGTCCATGATGTCGAATCCATGCCGTTAGAAATGTTAGAGCTCAATGTGTATAATGATAAAAAGAGTGTGAAGAAAAGCACTTTTCTTGGAAAAGTAAAGATTGCTGGGAGCAATTTTGTGAAATCTGGTGAAGAAGTGCCTTTGATTTTTTATCCATTGGGGAAGAGAAGTGTGTTTTCACAGATTAAGGGAGAGATTGGGCTAAAGGTGTGGTATGTAGACGAGGAGCCGCCGTCGGCTCCAGCTCCACCTGTGACGGAGGAGGCGGCGGAGAAAGCTGATGCTCCACCACCGGCAGAGGGGTAGAAGAAGGAAGAGGAGAAGACTGAGGAGGCGAAAAAAGCAGCCAAGGAAGATGTTCCCTGAAAAGTGTACCGCAAGCTCACGGGTCGCGTTTAAGTAATAAAGTGGACCTTAAGAGTCCGGATTGTCGCTCCCACGAGGAATGTATACTTTGGATTACACCACTTTAATCGATTTTAATTCTAACGACA